TAGAGCTTTCCAACCTGTTGAAAAGCATAAGATTCAATCTTTATATATAAAAGCGAAACACCACTCATGCATCATCACAAAATTTCCAGAACTGTAAAGTCTACAAACTTGACATTTGGCACATATGTTCCTCTTGGCTTCTAGGTGCTACTAAGAAAGGATTTTTCAAAATGACCATCAGAGCATTAGTATTTTGTATATTATTAACACGCTCTGATGCTAGGGAGTTCTGCTCCCCCTCCCCACCTGAAAAGAAATCTCTTCCAAATGCAAAACGCAAGCAGAAGAGAGGAGTTTCAGTTTCAGTTTTACTTTCACAGCACCAAGCAGTTTTAGTGCAGAACAGTTGAGCTAAGCCACACCCAGGCTCCTTGCTGTCTCCTTGCTCACAGCAAATACTGTTTCAGTTTCCAAAAAGCCCTCAACCCTCTCACACACTGATAGGATGCTAGCCAGTTGAATACTGATGGATGCTGGTAGGCAGAGGCAGATTTCCCCCCCCTTATTTTCCTCCCCCCAAACTGAGCCAAACTACATAATTTCGTAATGAAGCATGGATATCAAGCTAGTTCAAAATAAGTGGAGGGCCCGTTGTGGTCTGTGCTCTTTTTTTTTTAAATCAACATTTATATCCGAACATTTTCTTATTGGCTTATAAGGAGAAGAATGTTCCTTCTCTTCTCTTCTTAAATTGAAAATTCAGCCTCACTTTTCCAGCTAGGTGGGCGTAGCCTGTCCCATCAGTCACCTATCAATTAAAATGTATTGATAAGACAACAAGTGATAAACTATAAACCTACATTCTTGTTCAAATCTAACTGAGAGTTTTAGGATGATGAGGGTTACTTTGTAAAATATTTGAAGGAACAAATCATACCTGCTCAGGAATTAGTGTTATTACTGCAGCTGGGGAGAGGGGTTTTGAAACGCACTTCTGGGAGGAATTATAAGACATCCTTGTAGACAAAGGCTGTGGATATAATTAGGAGATTTTCAACATTTAAATGTGGAAGGTACTTCAAAGAGGCCACACTTTTATATCACCTATTTATGTTGGTATCCACGTGCAAATATATTTAGAATGCTTTTAAACTTTCAGTCATACTTTCATTTTTATTTTATCCCTAAATTCAATGGCAAGAGTCTTAATTTTTTCCTCTCAGTTATGAGACTTAATATACAGATAGACCTCAATATATGACCAGTCATTTAGTGATTGTTATAGATACATCATATTTAAAATCCAATCTCTTGATGTCTTTAAACAACTGTCAGAAATCAACTGATCTCAAGGACTGATCCCTTATTTGGTCCTTCTAAGTCCCAACAGTAACTAAGTAATAGTAGACTTATGTAATGTTTATAATCGATCAATTTCAGGGTTAGGTTGAAAAATTTGTAGTACTTGTAATGAAAAAATTAGCAACAGTCCAGTTATATGAGATGAATACTATTCACTAAGGTAGCTTAGAGCATACAGGGAGGTTGCAATTAGAATGAGTTAAAATAATGGAATATTTGATTTAGTGCAAATTGTAAATTGATACCAGGTCACATTTAATGTGATCCAAAACTTAATTAATGCAAAGCTATCAAATACAGGATTGAGACTTGTGCATGCAGAGTTGCAGCTTTAGATGGACAAAATGGATAAAAGAAAGACTCCATCAGAAAAAAAGTACAAAAATAAAAAAAATGTTCATATTATATTAGAGCAACTGTCTGATGTAAGCGAACAGCATGAACGTGATCATAGCAATGATAAATTAGGATGAGATATTGGAATGTCTAAATCTACAATAGATTTTTTTTGGCTTCCTATAACTACTCTGTGACTTTCTTAACCATAAATTTAAATTAAAAGTATATTCTTTTATTTATTGCAGTCAGTGGTGGTATTCTACCACTTCGGCCCGGTTCTGCCGAGCCCGTAGCAGCGATGAGCAGCGGAGACCAAACCAGTTCTCTCCACCACTCTGCTGTTGGGCCCATCCGCTTGCACGGGCTCCCATACTCACCTTTAACCTCTGAATATGAAGCACAGCTTCTTTGTGCAGCACAGAAGAGTGCTGTGCAGCTGCTGCTGAAGCGACCGGAATCATGCAGGCTTGCAGGAGGTGAGTTAGAACACTTCTGAGCCTGCGCAAAGTACGTGTTTGGCATGCGCGCGCATGCAAAATGTGTGCATGCACGCAAAGCACGCCCACCAAGCCACGCCCACTGAACCGGTGGTAAAAATATTTGAATCTCACCACTGACTGCAGTGTTTCTCAACCTTAGCAATGTTAAGATGTCTGGACTTCAACCCCACCGCCCTTCCCAAATTCCAGACATCTTAACGTTGCCAAGTTGAGATACAATGCTTTACTGTTACTGTAATATTTCATTAGTATACATATAAACATTATGCTAAAAAGCTTTCATTGCCTACTTTGGTCAAACTAATTACCACCTTTTCCATGGAAATATCACTTTGAATACTGCAAATTTGAATAAAGCAATCATTTTGTGGCATTCATTAACTAATCAGATCTATCTATATACTCATCATTATGAATTCTGGGAAGTAAAATTCCCTGTACTTTTAAGGTATACATTAGAAATAATAATAATAAAATTATTTAAACTCATTTTCTGATTTCAAAGGATATATTGTTTTTTTTGTGCAAGTGTTCAGTTTTGTTTACATCTTTGTGGAATTTTGCAAAGCCTTCAGGGTAATCCAGACACTTAATTTCCTTTATCCTGAGGAAGAAACCTGGGTTACTAGGATTCCGTGGGCAGATTTAACCTCTACATTTCCTGTTTAAGAAATAGTTTTAAACTATTCCTCCTCCTCTTAGATTTTTTTTTAAAGCTCCAAGACAGAAACATATGACTGGTTTCATAAGCAAAGGAAATCACTGTGCCAAATACACATTATTGAGTTAATTAACACACCACCTCTGCACGTGCCAATCTGCAACTTGCTGAACTTGTTTCAAATCAGCAGCTCCCAATGAAGTATTTACCTTAGTGGTTCTCCTGTTGATCTCTGAGGATGGAAATTCAACTCCTTTCTTGAGAAGCTCCAGATAAACCTCCTTGACTTCACTCACATCCACAGCATTCTGAAACCCCCTGGCCCAGGTCTGTTTGTGAAAAAGATTACAGTTCCTGAATCCAATTAAACCCCCTTCAAAACCTGATAACTGCCATTTTGGGCCAGAAACTGGATAACAACCATTTCTTTCAAAGACTTTCAGAGGAATGAGGCTGTATTAGAAAAGAATCTGAAGCATCAAATTCTCCTCTCCTATCTTGCTGAATCAGTACATAGACAGACCAAGGTGGAGCAAAGTAATCCCTTGGTATTGCAATGGAACCATTTTAGAAACATTAAGAGATGTCTATGTATTAAAACCAAATAAAAGGTTCAGAAAAAAATATGACCACATTATTTAATGAAGATCTCTCAAATTTCTCCAGATGGATAATTCAGAACAGGGACTCTCTTTTTCCCACATACAGCAAAAGGCAACATCATTGCATTTTCTCCCCCTTACCACAGCATTGGAACTGGACAGGGAACTTGCTATGTTGCCTATGCAGAGGAGACTGGTGAAGCTGTCATCAAAACAGTCACCCAGGATGGTGATAAGGACTTGAAAAAGAGCCTTTCATTTTTCTCCCTCTCTTTTGTAGGCCAGGTAAATATACTTATTTTTGAGGCTACAGGTTGGATTATTTTCAGGTGGCAGGCCACATCCAACCCATAGGCCATAAATTGCTAAATTGGAAAACACACACAAAAAGACAAGATTTAACTTTAAAAAGGGATTGCCAAAGAGAGGAGGTTATACACATTCTGCAGATGTTTTCCTGATTCTTGCAGTACTGCAAGCTACTTCTACTGCAATTTGGCAGATCGAAACCCACCAGGCTCAAGGTTGACTCAGCCTTCCATTCTTCCAGGGTGGGTAAAAATGAGGACCCAAATTGTTGGGGGCAATAGGCTGATTCTGTAGAGCTCTTAGAGAGGGCTGTAAAGCACTATAAAGTGGTATATAAGTCTAAGTGCTATTGCTATTGCACTAGGGGTCATCCCATTAAACTGATTTGTAATGTGGAAAGAACTATAGTAGGGTGTCAAACTCAAGGCCTGCGGCCTGTGGGGTGCTTAGATCTGCCTATGGGGCCACCCTGGGAATAGCGAATGACTGGCCCGTGGTGCCCCTGCTAGCAAAAATGGAGCTCGTAAGGGCCATGTGCAGCCCTTCTGGGCTTTGTTTTCAGCTGCGACAGCTTCCTGCAGCCTTCTGCCAGCAAATCTGGGAGGGCAGCGCACAAAATCCTCATGAGCTCCATTTTTGCTGGCAGAGTGCTAGCAAAACAAACTACTAGCAAAAGTGGCATTTGATCACACAAGTGACATTGAGCTGGCCACACCCACTCTGCCCCCTTGAGGTCAAATACATCCCTCAATGAAATCGAGTTTGACACCTCTGAACATACAATGCCTTCATACAATGCCTCTGTTGAGAGGCAAAATGCCATTTCACACGGGCAGGACAATACATTAGATGGAGCCTTCAATCCTTCTTTTGTTCTTCTCAAAGCTGGTGTTTCTCATATTCAGCAAACTTGTGAATGTTTATTCCTCTATGTGACAGGTTAGTTTTCAACATCATGAGGGGGAGGGGAATTACTAGTTGTATAAAAGGGCATGCTAAATTTTTATTTTTTATCTCATGGAAGCACTATCATACAACAATTTCAGTAGATAGAGGAGTCATTCTGTTTAGCAACTCTCAGAAATAGTGGTATCAACCATTTATTAAGGATCGGAGATTAGAATATCATTTTATTCTTGATGGCTAGTAAAGCTGGGAAGTTCTGTGAAGGTAAGGCTGACTTTATTTCTTACTTTCACAGATCTTTCCAGCTTTACTGGCCATCTAGAATAAAATGATATTCTAATCTCTGATTCTCAATGGATGCTTGATACAAGTATTTCTGAGAGTTGTTAAACAGTTAGAACGACTCCTCTACCTACTGAAATGGTTTTGTGAAAGTGTAAATTTTATACCTTAGATAAGCAAACTGATGTTTCTGGATGTTTTGGATCACAACTTCCATAACCCATTGCCATTGGCTTCTGGAAACTGAAGGCTAAAATGAGACATGAAGGTTTCTTATTTCTGTTTTGGCCCACTCAGATGTAGAAGTGAATTTATGATTCAGCATGATCTCATGATAACCAACAGCAAAGAAAAACTCCAGCTTTCCTGTCAGAAACACTTTTTTAATTTGCTGACTGGGAAAGTAACTTTTTTCTTAAGAAGAGAAAGAATACAGAAAGATTGCCATATGGTTTTTCCGTATGAGCAGTTATGGAAGTTTATGCAACTAACAAAGGAATCATTTGAAAACCAGGGCAACAGATTCTCTATCCTTTTCTGCACTTTCTGTTCTCCATACAGAGGTTCAAGGAGAAAAAAAGGAAACTCTTTTTCACCCACTCCCTTCCCAGGCAGCATAGCACACCTATTATGAAACATTGATTACGTGTATTTCATCGAGGGAGCAAAAAGGAAATAAGGAAAAAAAGCTTACCATGATAAAGGTCAAAATTTTCTCCTGCAAATCCACTGGTAAGTTAAATTTTGGATTCAACAGCTTTACTAGCCTATCTTTGCAAAAATCTCGTTTCACTATCAGAGACTGGAAACTCGGCCGGCAATTCTTCATACACATCTCAAGGAGCTGCAAAAAAATGGGTTTTTGCATCAGTGATATGAACAATTTCGTTACTTCCACTTCCCTGAGAGCAATGTCCTATGAAGCCCCCTTTGTTTCTATTTCTCCTGTCCCATGCCATCAGTTATCACCTCAAGCTTCCTCTTGTAGTACTGAGTGTTTCTCAGCCAATGGTTCTCTTACTGTGGAGTTTCTTAAAATACATTGCACAGACCATCAATATTACCCGAATAACTTGAAATTATCTATGAACTGGCTGCAAGATAAAATTGGGAGGAGGGGGGCAGCCAAAGTGGCACATGATTTTTGGATCCATTCAGTCTTTCTAGCCAAATGAGCAGAGCACTTAGCCATGAATTAAGATGGGGCAGTGGCAGATGTCTCCTCAGATGTCACAGATGAAACAGCTGAAGAAAAACAATCACTAGAAGATTCTTGAATGAAAACTCACAGAAAATATGAGCTTTTTAAATCAAGTGACACTAATGATCCCACTACTTTTCCCTTCAATACCTCTTCTGGAAAACAGATTTTCAGCACTCAGCTTCCGAAACAAGATGAACAATATGTTGATTCTAAGATTTTAATTATCTCATTCCAAATATTGATGAAATATGCTGTCCTACGCAAGTTCACATATGCATTAAGATCTATAACCAATGTATAAAATGCACAGAATATAAATATAAACCATCACTAAGATATGTTTTGATTTGGTTCATCTTCTCCTCCCCCTTTAAAGAAATATGGATATTCCTAATTTTAAAAAAAAGAAAAGAAAAAGATATCCTTTCCTTTGCATAAAAGCCCTGCTTGATCAGTTGAAAATTCTTTCTACCATTGTTTTCCACAGAGACTCCTTGGAAGTCTACAAAGAAGAGTACTCTTCTATGACTATTTCTCCATAACAAATATTCAGAAACTTTTCAACCTGAAATGATAGGGAAATTTGAGGAAGTATTTTCTGATATGTATGGTCTTCAATAATAATCATTCAATTTGATGGGGGGAAATTCTTTTTTTTTTAAAGAGATGTTGACAAGATCCTCCTGGGTGCGTCTTAGAATTCTTGAACTGACTTTACAAAGTGACAAAGAGATGCTTATAAGCATTTTATCTTTCAGTGTATGATTATTTATCCAATGGTCCACAAGCCTGCCAGCTTCCCTTGTCCCAATTAAATCCCAAATGTGGAAGATAGGATGAAGGCGCTTCTCTCGTGGGGACATTTTCTGTCAGAAATGTGCACAACTAGGGAGGCTTCAGAATGACAGAGATTCCATGAAGTTGAGGGAAAGGGAGAATTGTTGGCATGATCTGCCATTTTTGCAGCAATAAAATTCAAAAAAGGCCATGCAAACCAATTCTAAGGGAATTTTAAAGGACTCTGAAAAATAGATATCAAACCTGAGGGTTCTTCCAAAATTGTAGGACAAATTTTGATATGACACGTTTTATTGCTTTGTCAGATATACATCCAATGGGTTATGCATATGACTACAGTAGAAGGGCACTATGTTCAGGGCAGATAATCAAAATATATTATTTAAATTTATTTTAGAAGGGCAGTAAAAATGCTTAAAAGTTTTGTGAATCACAAAAGACACACCAAGGGACAACAACATAACGTTAAATTTAAACAATGCCATTCCAGGATCCTGAATCATGTGTTGAAATAACAGTGCAGTCTTTCGGTAATGATGTTCCCATCATCAAGAGTTCCAATGACAACTAAAAACAGATCATTATATCACAGCTATCATGTAATTTTACAATGATCTACTTCAGACTGTAACTAAAATAAAGTCATAGTTTAGCATTATCCACAAAAGTTTTAGGCACACATAGAGCATCAATTCTCCCATGCAAGACTGGAAGCAATTTCATTTTCAATTAGCTGCATTTTATATTTACTTAAGTCTCAAACCAAACTTGTAGTTAACCAGTGGTTAAATATGGCTTAGAGGATCAAACCAGATTTATAAACATAAATATCTTCTCTAATGAGCTCCAGTGTATAATTTTAATCCCCAAGGTTATATACAGTAGGTAATCAGTGAGTTGCAATTGTTCATTTAACAATGATTCAAAGTTATGACAGCCTTGGAAAATGTGACTTAAGACCTGTCCTCGAAGTTACAATTGTTGTACCATTCCTGTGGTTCCATGACTGCAATTCAAGGACTTGGCAACTGGTTGCATTTACAATGGTTGCAATGTCTTGCTGTCATGTGAACATGATCTGAGACCTGCCCAACTGGCTTCTGACAAGCAAAGTCAATGAGGCAAGCCAAATTCACTTAACAACTACATAATTCAATTAATGACCATAGCAAAAATGGTTGTAAAATCAGGTCTGGTCATGTGATGCCTCACTTAACAACCAATTCACTTAGCCATCAAAATTCTGGTCCCAACTGTGGTCATAAGTCAAGGACTACCTGCATATTGTTCCCAGTATTTGTACTGCAGGCCGAAGATGTCCTATAAAATTGGTACTGAATTCTTGGTTTTATAATGTGACAAAAGACAGAAAGTATAAACATAGGGCACAATTATATTAGTGGTATAAATTTTTTTGTTATAAATTTTAATTTAAATCAATGTCAGGAAAAGGTTCTTCAATTCTGAAATAGTTACAATCTCTTGTACCAGGGTTCTCAGACCTTATGGTGCCATGCAAATGTGTGTCAATCATGCCAATGATAATAGCAACGGCAATACCCAAAGTAGTAATAATAACTGTAACAACCACAAATTATAGGGATATTTATAATTGCTAGAAGGATTAAGCCATCTCTAATTGTGTGATGTTTTTTGCACTGCATTCTAGATGCCTGAGATATGCCAACCCACAACACCCCTGCCATATGGTTGAGGATGGGAAGATCTGAACACCTCTCCATGTCTGGAAATTAATAGATTAGGTTGAAAGCTGCTGCTAAAGCCTTCTTCCTAGGTGGACTGTCCACCAACTATGAATTCAGAAATGTATAACCCTGAGGAAAGTGAAATAATAAAGAAAATGTTGGCCTGTGCAGAGATGGACAGGCTAACACTAGAAATTAAAGATAAAAGTGAGGCAGAATATTACAAGTCTGGAACAAAATGTATCAATGGTTAGACTTGAAGAAAGGAAGTCAGAATAACAGCAAAAAAAGATTGTGACGCTTTATCAGACTGAAGGTGGACATTTTCAAAGATAAAGACAGTGTAATCAAGTGGATATAACAACTATATAAGATCATGCAAGGGAACTATGTTGTAAATAGGAAAATATATATATGTAAATAGCACCAACTCAGTGATGTAGAATAAGGAAGAGATTAATTGTTATATGTGGTTTTATGTTTTAGCATGTATAGCAAAATAACTGCCAGGAAAGTCGCACTGCGTTAAACTGTTTTAATGTTTATTCAATAAAATTTAAAAAAGAAAGGAAAAGAAATTTATACCCCCCACTCCAAATTTACTCATAATCCCTGTGGGTGTGGGTGGGAAGCACAGCTCACTGTTTCACCACCTCTGCATTACAAGACAAAAAAGTCAAGCCACAATTTCACTGGCTGGACCAGGTCATTGTTCATCCATAACAGTAAAATGCAGTTAGTCACAAAAGGAAGCAAATCTTCTGGTCTCTGCTAGTGACCTCTGCAAGAGTAGAAAAGTAAAGAGCACACACACTATTACTTTTTGTTCACACTACTAAACCATATGTTGCATTATGTCCAAAAGAAGCTTCTTCATTATCACAGTATATCAAAAAAGACTGAGAACGGTGAAAGTGTAACAGTTCTCCCAATAATTGTTCAGTTCACCAAAGCACCAGTATTACTATACCTGTACCAGAAATCTGTAGCCATAAATATTTCAAGGGGATTCACTGTTCCAGAAGGCCAAATTAAGGGCAATTTTAACCACTGAATATGGACTTTTTAAAAGCAATTTTCTTACAAGTTTAGAACAAAGAAAGCAGAAAAGAAGCAGAAAAAACTTATTCCCCAAAATCACAAATTAGAAAAGCAGCAAGCAAAATATATTTTAAAAAGAGATGGTGGGTGCAAGGGAAAAGGAAGGAAGGAAGGAAAGAAGGAAGGAAAGAAGGAAGAAAGGCTATCATAGGGAAAGGGACTATATCATAATTACCAAAATGTTTTAGCTAATATCATGAAAGACATGTTAATCAGCTATTTGCTCACAGAAGGGGGGTTAAAGTGGTTCTGTATATGTAAAACATTTTTTGCAAGATAAATGAAGTGCTAATTTGCGACACTTCTCCTTTTACTGTACTTTCCCTGTACAGACAGTGATGAGTTACTGGATCTTGTATTCCATTAGAGTAGTTTACTACTCCCATTGTTTTCAATAAGCTGAAACAGCCAGATTGAAAGTGTGAATTAAAAGACCTTTTGGGGGGGCAAAGCATTTGTGAGTAAACTAATGGAAGCTACTTCCATGGTAACAGCTATTTTCATCAGAGAAGAATGCCCAGTGAGGCCATCAATTGGTTCTGAGCCACATCCATTGGAATGAAATATAAATAGTTATTGTACTGTATACGGCAAGTTATCTGTCCCACTCCCAGTAAATGTTGACTTATTCATCAATCCTTTCAAGTATCTAGTCATATTTTTGCAGGATCCAAAAGCTGGTACAGAATACTTGATAAAGAAAATAAATGAGTTAGGAGCTTTAACAAACTTCAAATCAAATCAGAAAACAAAATGCTTATTAAGAATAAGACTTTTCAGGACTATGAAACCTTAACAAAAAACATCGGCCTTCAAGCAGAGAAAAGGATGAAATATCTTGGGTTACATTGACAAATACATATTCTAAATTGTTTCAAACTTTGTACCTGTATGGAATGATATAAAAAAGACCGATTAATATGGGATAACTTGCAATTATCTTTTCTGGATAGAATTTGTGTAATTAAGATGACTGTCTTACCAAAGATGTTATTTTTTATTTCAGACTTTACTGATTCTTTTAAGTGCTTATAAATAAAAATAAGTATTTATAAACAATGGCAAATGGATGTTTCTAAGTTCATATGATGATGGGAAAAAACCAAACAATTAGATACAAATTATTGCAAGATGTTAAAGAAAGAGGAAATTTGGGTTTGAATGAGAGGGTCACTAACTAAAAATTGGATAGTATAGCTGCTTATTATATGATAAGTTAAATAAATGTTGATTTCAACAACCACTTTTTTAGATATACCCTCCTAAGTGTTTGGAATAGATATAAAATAAGGTTCTCTGTGAAAATACATCTTTGGGTGTCAGCTCTGGAAGCTTTTTTTAAAAAAATGATGGTGAGACCAGACTGGTGGAGCTATAGTTAAATAATACTTTATTTAGTCAAGGTGAACCTGCCTTCCAATCCAAAGAAGAGTTGGAATGGAAAGGACATGTCTGTCCCTGGTTTAAATATTTATAATTGAAAGAAAGGTCAGTTTTAAAATGCTATGGATTTGACCTTGCAAAAAAATGAATTGGAATCTATACTATGCGGTAAAGATGAACATATTATTGCTAAAGTTTATAAACTGTTATAGAAATTGATTTGGAAAATAAACGTGTGAAGCACTGTATGAGCCAATGGACAAGTAATTTGGGGTATAATATAACACTTGAACAATGGGAAAATATTTGGATGATGGGTTTAAAATTTACATTAAATTATAACTTAAAAGAATCTTTTTGTAAAATGATGTACAATTGGTATGTATGAAAGTATTTCAAATGCATGCTGGAAATGTAAATATAAAGAAGAAAAATTTATAATCTCTGATACACTTGTGACAAAGCAAAATATATATATATATATACTGGAATAAGATTCACATTTAACACAGAAGATTCTTTAAGTGAACTTAAATATAAACCAGAGATGCTTCTTTTAGGATTAATGGCCAAAGAACTTGAAAATTGTTATATATGCTAACAGCAGCAAGAATGCTCTGTGAACAAAAATGGAGAGATACTTTAATTCCTACAATGGACAATCCTTTCTCACATTCATGGTAAGCCAGAAAAATAAGTTTAGTGCAATGTATGAATCCAAGAATTGTTACCTATCAATTCTGTGTTGATCTACCAAGAGAGTAAAGTTCCTGTATTTCTTAATAAAGTGAATAAGTATTTTATCTTATCTTAAAACTATTCGTGTGCTATATGGATTACATGTTAATCTGAATACTGAACTGCAACTCTGATTCATTTGATTGCATGCTAAATTACATATTTGTGCAGAGACTCATGTCTAGGCAAAGAAAGGTCACGAGTCTCCCGGATGACGATTATGTTAAGGTTTGGTGAATTTCCAAGGAACAAAATTGGAAAGCAGCAACAAGAATGCTCCAGAGAACTATTAGCATTCACAGTGAGGTGAACAAGAGCTACTTAAAAGCTTATTTTAAGGGATTCAAGAGCCTAATGGAATACAAGAAGCCACGTTCCTCATGCAAGTTGACCCTTTAAAATTTTTTTGGGATATTTTAAAAATATTTTGATTCAAAAACTGATGGAAATGATGTTGAAGGGTTGGAGATCCTGCCTACTAGAATACCTTCTAAGATAAATATTCATCATAAAGAGCAAGAAGCTGCATCTTATTTCAGTACAGATGATTCTCGACTTACAATAGTCCATTCAGTGACCGTTCAAATTTACAACACCACTGGAAAAAGGGACCCATGATCATTCTTCACACTTACAACTATTGCAGTATTCCCATGGTCAAGGCATCAAAATTCAGACAGTTGGCAACAGACTCATTTATGAAAGTTTCAGTGTGCCGGGATCATACGATCACCTTTTGAGACCTTTCTGACAAGCAAAGTCAATGGGTAAACCAGATTCACTTACCAACTGCAATGATTCACTCAACAATGGTGGCAAGAAAAGTCATAAAATGGGGCAAAACTCACTTAACAAATGTCTCACTTAGCAACATAAAATTGGGGCTCAATTGTGGTCATAATAAACAATGTCTTCCTTTGCATCAAGTGAGAGGCTAATTTAGGAATACAAAGTTGTGATGGCACACTAAACTTTTCCTCCAAAGTCTCTAACTAGTCATGACTCTTTGCCCCTTCTTCTGCCTTAGTTTGGCCACTTCACTTTGTCCAACAGCAGAGCCATCCTAAAAGCAGCCTATGTTACTTTATATAGCTACAATAAAAGCAGAAGATCCATAAATGACACACAAGGATACAGGCACATATGAGGCATAACATGGGAAATTATTCTTTCCGAACATACTGTAGATCCATTGTAGTTTGGAACAACTATTTATATCTTTCGCAGTGCAACCTGACATAACTTTTAGTGCCTCATTTAGGAAGGTAGTGGCAGCTGGAAGAACACGGATGTAAAAAAGAGACATATTAGAATAAATCACAGGATGTTGATGGACTTGAGTTGTCATTTCTAGTTCTGTATTCCCACTATTAAGTTCTTGCCTGCAGCAAGAAAATACCATTATGACAGGGTTCTAAAAGAGCAGAATGATAACACAGAAACATGAAAATGAAGCTGATGCATTTATGCATCTTTAATAGGATAAATGGGTGACAATAATGAAGGAACAAAGTCTATTATTGGTATGTGCCTCTAGCATCTATGAGATTTTTGCCAGAGATAGACAAGAAAAGATTCACAATCACTTGTTTTTACAGATAAACTTTGCCTCACTTGAGGCATCTTAAGAACTTCTCCACAGCATCTAGCACAATTAAGGAAAGGGAAAAAAAATATTGGGAGGGTGGGGGGTTTGCCCCAGGCAGGCAAGGATTGCATACTAATAGGAAATGCCATTTTCCAGCAATGGAGAAGGAAGCTAAGTCTCTAAAGGTGCAACCTACTTGCCAAAACCTTGAGAAGTACTGTTTGCATTTGAAAAAGAACATTTTGCCTGCAGGTCAAAATGGGAAGGAGAAAGCAATTACAGCTGCAGTGCCAAGACCTGGAAAAAAGCTAGAAGTAGGTCTCCTGGGTTATCAAACAACTTCCTGAAACAAAGTTAAGAATCATTAGTTCTGTACAACTTTGATAGACTGGCAAACCAGATAGTTTCCATTGAAGGCGGTAATTCTGCAGCTTCCTGGGGAATATTGGTTCCACAGGCAACCTAATGTGCAACATTTCTATTTATTTCACAGGAAATGCAGCAGTGATCCTGAATTAGTTTTGTTCTGTTTTGCAAATGGAATTGTTTAGTCAGTGAAATGAAAAGTGGGCCCAAGTTTTCCTTTCTGTTCCAGCCCAACATTTGTTCTCAAAACTGCTTTGGAGGATAGGAACACAGATTGGAAAGGGTGTGGAGGAAATATTTTCATGAAAGCACAGTTCTGTTTGCACAGTGATGGATTTCAGGCAAGCATTACAAACATATTCTAAACAAAATGGAGCTATTTAAATAAGATTATATCAGTTAATTAATGAAAACAGACCTCAAATTGTTTGACTATTTGGATTGAGAGAAAGTAGATTATCCTACATTACAGAGAATTTCAGGTAGCTGAATGGAATGTATTAAACACAAATAGAATAGAATAGAATGGGCATTGGTATAAGTTACCGTGAATGCCCTTTCTATCTATGCTGCAAGAGAGCCCAGGATGGGTTGACTCCTTCCTATGATGTCGTTTAGCTGAGTCTGTACTAAGATATAAAAGCCAGCCCCGAGAGAGACCCCAGCTTTGGCGAAGATACTTGACAAACTGAAAGGTGTCTCTGAAAGCACAAAATGAATATAGAAAAACATTTTACCCTGTCTGGACGAATCAAGGGAGGGGCTGGGCTCTCTTGCAGCATAAAGGGCGTTCACGGTAACTTCTACCAACGCCCATTCTCCTCCATGCTGCATCGAGAGCCCAGGATGGGACATTCCAAAGCTTGCATGTCCACGGGTGGGTCCTCGTCCAGCTTATCACACCGACTGTGGAACCACTTGTTGAAGCACCCGTCTGCTGAAAGCTGCAGTCACCAAGGCAAAGGCATCCAGATGGTAGTGTCTGATGAAAGGAGACGGGGATGTCCACATGGCCGCACGACAAATCTCCTCCAAGGATGCTTCGGTCGCCTAGGCAGCAGAAGTGGCTGCGCTTCTGGTAGAGTGCGCCGTCAGACCTCGGGGAACTGGAAGGGCCGCAGCTTTGTAGGCCTGCTCAATGCAAGACCTGACCCACCTGCTAATAGTAGGAGAAGAGGCCTTGTGCCCCAAGTGAGAAGGAAAAAAGGAAACAAACATGGCTTCCAACTTCCTGAAGGAGGAAGTGCGCTTAATGTATATTCTACGTCTAGCATGTGCCACTGCCGCTCTAAGTTATGGTGCGGGAGAGGACAGAAGTCGGGCAACACAATGGCCTGGGACCTGTGAAACCAGGTGTTAACCTTCAGAATAAATGAGGGGTCCAGACGGAGAACAACCCTATCATCGTGAAAGGAACAAAGGTCCTGTCTGATGGAAAGAGCAGCAAGCTCGGAAACCCTCCTAGCAGAAGTGATCGAAACGAGGAACACTACCTTCAGAGTCAGGAAATGGAGAGACGCTGTTCTAAGGGGTTCAAAGGGGGGCTTCGTAAGGGCATTAAGGACCATATGAAGATCCCAGGAAGGATACCTGTGAACCAGCGGTGGGTGGAGGTTGGAAGCCCCTTTCAAAAACCTCCTGGCTGAAGGGTGATGGGATAAGGAAGGAAATGAACCCCATGAAAGGACCGAGGAGAGGGCCGCAACCTGCCTGCGTAAGGTGTTGGGGGCCAAACCTTTCTCCAGCCCATGCTGAAGGAAGTTAAGAACTTCTGTCAACTGGGCTGAAGCAGGAGAAAGACCCTCTCTGAGGCACCATCAGGAAAAAGCCTTCCAGGTGGCATCATAGATGCACCTTGTAGAAGGTTTGTGAGACACCGGGTTGGGGGGATGACCCTTTCTGGAAGATCAGCCTCCTCTAGCTGCTGCTGCTCAAGCGCCACATGGTCAGCTTGAACCACTGGGGCTCTGGGTGGAGAATGGCCCCCTGGTGAAGGGAGATTAGATGGGCTGGGATCCTCCAAGGAGAAGCCACCGATAGATTGACCAGGTCCGCAAACCAGGGCCTCCTTGGCCAATAGGATGCCAGGAGGAGGAGCTCCGCTCATTCCTCCAACATCTTCTGAATTACTGCCGGAATGATGGGAAGTGGGGGAAAGGCATAGAGGAGACCCTTGGGCCATCTGCACCGAAGAGCATTGGTCCCCTCCACTCCCTGGCAAGGAAACCTGGTGAAGAATCTGGTGACTTGGGCGTTTTGAGGAGTGGAGAAGAGATCCACCTCTGGTGTTCTGAATCTGAGGGAAAGATCCCTGAATAGAGACGGAGGAATGGACCATTCTGCCTGGTTGACTAGGCTGCTGCTAAGCCAGCCAGCCTGGGAGTTGTCGACCCTGGAGATGTGGTCCGCCGAGATCAACAACAGGTGTTTCTCTGCCCATAACCCCAACCGTAGAGCCTCTCTCATGAGGGCTTTGGACCTTGTCCCCTCTTGCCGGTTGACATGAGCCTTTGTGGCCATGTTGTCCGTAAGGACTAGAACACGAGAGCCGGTCACTGATTGCCTGAAATGCTTGAGAGCCAGAAAAATGGCTCTGAGCTCTAGCCAATTTATGGGAAGGTTCTGC